ATGACATGTGGAAATAAAACAATCTACCCCCGTGCAGTAAATAAAGTGTTCGGTTCGAAATTCCAACGTATAACACATGAAGGAGGCCGTAGCATGCAACAACTGAAACGTCATGAATATGTCAACAAAGATAGGGACAACAGTCCGAACAATGTAAATAGTTACATACCCCATCTCAGAAATATAGACAAGTAACGTACATTCACACGCACACGTGTATATATATATATATATATATATATATATATATATATATATATATATATATATATATATAGATAGATAGATAGACAGACAGATATATATATATATATATATATATATATATATATATATATATATATATATATATATATAGGTAAACAGTAAGATACACGTTAATTAAAATATATCATATATAAGATTTTAAGAATATATAATAATATTCCTATTTCTCTCACTTTCTTTCTCTCTCTATATATAACACTACATTCCAATAAAAAAATATTTGTAGATTTGCTCATGAACTGACTCCTGTTCTCTCTAAATTGTATGTAAGCTCTCCCTTGTTTTCCTGTTTGGTAGAAATCTTCTGTTCTTCCAGCCTTTTGAGAAGTCTTTGAGAAATCAGGTGTAATGTCCAACCCTTCCAACTATCGGCCTATTAGCGTACCACCGCTTTTTGGCAAACTTTTAATGGCCATAATCAATGCTGAATTAGTTAAGCATCGAATGATCTCTTCGCTATGGTAACTAGACTTTAATAATTTAAACGTACTATTAGATTGGCAAAAAGATCTAATTAAATTACAGTTGAGCTGGCTAGATTTAACCATAAGTTCTATGTTAATAATTTCTTTTCTCGTACTTCTAGCTTTTGGAACTCCCTTCCGGATCCATGCTTTCCCAACAACTTTGATATTCAAAAATTTAAATGCAATGTCAATCGTTATCTACTGTCTCACTGTTTACTCTTCTTTTGTTCTCTCTCCTTCATGGTGTTTTCTGTTTTCTACTTCTTTCACAATCATTAATACCTTATGTCTTAGTGGCTTTACTGCCTTGCTAGGGGTGAATTAGATTTAAAAATGCATTGATTTATAAAAGACGTTTAAAAACAATCGAAAGACATTTTAGAACGCGGTTTAAACATTGTTCGCTTTGACACGTAGCGAGTCTTTTGAAGTTACCCCAACATGGATTTACTAGTACTACAAAACAGCCGACTATTTCAGCTAACTCTATATAATGTACAAAATAATAAATCAGGTAAAGCTACTCACAACAATGTAAATGAAAATGACTAATGAATTAGCCGAAAGCGGTTGACACAGTAATCCCTATAGGCGGTGTCTACACTCTTAGCATGTCGTTACAATATTTTCATGCTTTAAAAGGTCCAAGAGCCACTTAAGGTAGAATGTTACAGAGTAAATGTTATGTACGAATGATACCGGTTAAACGAAGACTTGATCAGGTTAAGATTGTAATAATCAGGAAAGCTTGATATTGGGAGTCGGTTGTACAAAATGTTCGAGTTGAGCTTATATATCCCCAATGAAATGCGAAAGTATTGAGATTGATTCACTACAATATCCATGGAATGGTGGGTCTTATCTTTCAAGGTTAGAAGTAGTGGAACTAAGGGATGTAGTTTGATTAAGAATTGGGATAGAAATGCAAGAGGCACGTAACGTTTCGACAGTGGGAAAAAAAGGTTGTAGATTGGAAAATAATTCATCAAGGCCCCTTAGATGCTTTTGGACTTTACCCAAACAGTAAAGTGAAGACCGGACAGCTGCTTCCCATATATGGGGTCCCTACTTCATTTTCGGTCTGATCTTAGTAGGAGTCAGTTTATTTCTTGAGCAATAAATGGAACCGATGATTTTTTTTTCAACATCTTTAGCGATGGATCGAATGTACGACTTAAACTTGAGGTCTGGCTTGAGCTTAAACGCGAATAAGCTTTCAATAGGGTCAGGACCAACCTTGAAAGAACATCCGTTTGTAATGGACACAAATTGTAACATCACAGGTTTGGGCTTCGAGGTATTGACTGTAACTAGATACTTACCCCCTACTGAGATTTTAAAGCTCGGTCAGAGGAGAGATCATCTAACAGGCTTTGTTCATCTAGAATTTGGGGTCTGCATCCATATACTGTTGTAACATTAGCATAAATATCCATAAGAGATCTGAGTATACTCTTATTCTGATCCCGAAAGAAAAACTGTAAGGACACTAGAAAAGAAGAAATAAATATTCCTTGAAACATGTATAAAAGAAAAAAAATGAAGTACACACACAAATACGCGCACGCGCACACACAGACACACACGCGCGCGCGCGTCTGTGTGTTTCCGTTGTAACAGCAAAATTGTTCAAATCGTGCAACAGCAAAATTTTTCAATTGTTATATTAAATTTTGGACCGCTGTATCTTAGAAGTGATTAAAGATATCGTACTGGAATTCTCCGAAGTTTTTATAACTCTTTTGGACTCTAATTTGAGAAGTAATAATTTATTTAGCTCTATGTTCAAATGATTATCCCTCTTGCTGATGTGACATCCTCATTCAGTTTTCCTTTCTACTGTTTACTCTTTTTAAAACTTATTCACTGTTCTCTCGATGGCTCTTGAATGTAATTTGAAGATGGAAGTCAGAGCATAAATGTTGGTACCATTACTGAAGGCTTAAATGATTTTTCCTCCTACCATTGCTCAGGTGGGAAGACAATAGGGCTGACACAAAACGATTTAAACTGTTCTCATTCTAGGGTTTTTCAATGATTCTTACAACAAATGATGCCAAGATGGCTAAACGTCTTATCTGAAAACCTGGAAAAAAGAAACTTAATCAGTTTAGTGCTCTTTAGATATTAAACAGGTAAAAATTGATCTAGGCTCTTTCCATTTTTTCGGTCAAATTTTACCGAAGTTTTATTGTGCGTAACTTCGATATACATTTTTTTTTTCGTTGGTGTCTTCGTATAGGCGAGTTACATAAAGTTTCGTATCTTATCATAATTCTAAACTTCGATTAAATTAATCAAAAGATAATAAGAAATTACAATTTTTGTACAGATTTCAAAAATTTTTGATTCAGATTTTAAATAAAAGCAGGATAATATACTTCCGCCATAATTACCGAGTCATTAAAACCAAACTGAAAAGCAAATTAGTTTTGTCTGACAAAAGTAATCGAAAAAAAAATAGAGTAAAAAGAGAAAACTAAAGTCTGTTCCCAAAAGGATTAATTTCCAGTTTATTGAATCAATCGATTGCTTCTCATTTTATATCTGGAGAAATCGATTTCTTGCCGAAATCTCCAAAGAGTAAAAAAAAAAAAATCGACTTAGACACCATTTCCGCCAAACTCAAATACTGATCGCTGACGAATCCTTAGGTGGTCTTATTTGGCTCGTCGCAAAATTCGATAGAGAAGAGACTAATTAGGCGAGATTGTGTTAATTAAATTTGTTAATTTTCCTCCCCGAGCAAAAATTTAATTGGTTTCGGCGGAAAGGAATCTTCGAAAACCTTTTAAAGCTCACACCACATACTCTTGCTATCTACGTTAGTAAGCAAACAGTGGAAGCAGCCAATTCAAAAATCACGATTGTGTTATCAATTCGTGATTCTCCATTCGTGTCATGCCGGCGGCAATAACTTTTATTCTTGGTTATGCTGTGCAAACGACTTCCGATGCATTCAACTGCGTGACATCATTTTTAAGCGAAGATGAAAAGAGTTTTATCCATCTTTGTCTTCACTTATTTGATGATTTTATTTCATTTTCGGAATTTTTGGTTTCCTATATGTACCTATCTTCCCTGGCGTTGAGTGTTATCTTGACGAAATGCCATTATCTTCTCCAGTAAATAAATTTCAGCAACAATATCTGGTCAATACACGAACGCTTTAAATATTCTAAGAATACACTTCATTCAACTCTTACAGTCAGGAACAGTTCTCATGATTTTGTGAAATACAGAGCTTTGTAAAGTGGTGTTTGACAAAGCACAAGTAGCATACGTTCTATTACCTATTTGTTTTCATTTTTCATACTGCCTGCATACGAATAGAAAATAAATTGTTTCATTTTAGTATATATATATATATATATATATATATATATACCAGCAGATGGTCGTTCAGAAAAAATCGTTCAATTAAAATGGGGCAAAAACATCATCATGTTTAGATGTAACAGAGTGTCTTCTTGAATTACTTTGAAGTGCTTTCATTAAAAAACATTTTGAATTAATGCCGTTACTGATATAACAGAAGTAGTCTTTACTTATTCAATCGAAGTTAGCCGAGGACATGAAGGGGTAAAACAGGCAACCTGAAGACCCACTTCAGATCACAATATTTTGGAGTTTTTGAAATTCAATTTATCAGTGTGCTACCAGGGATGTAAAAGAGGATACATTTATAAAGCAATTGTTAAACTTGATGAAAATTGGTTAAAAGATCAACGCAAAATAAGAAAGAAACCAGTAAAAATCGCCATTTTCCGCTATTTACGCGAGTTTTCACAATATGGTTGAAATCAATTTAAGTTAAATGACTGTTAAACAATCAACTCCTTGTTGGCTAGAATTGTGTGAATTTTGTTTTAGATTGTTTGACAATTGAGAATTTTTTTAGTTTAAAATTTGTGTTGAAATCAATTTTGGTTGAAATCGATTTTTCGTTTTTCGCGGGTTTTCGCTAAACATAGTAGTGTAGAAACAAAATTGACGTATCGTTGAGCTCACCATGATGTAGGTAACTTATATACCGAGTTTGAAAGAAATCGGAAGAAAAAAGTTGAATTTATCGATTTTTGATCGGCTTTATCGATTACTGATTTTTTTTTTAATTTATCGACTTTTTCGGCTAACAACCTACCTCTTTCATTTTACAACGTATGTGCCAAATTTGATCAAAATCGGTTGGATGAATTTCGAGTGAAAAGGTATCACACAGACAGACACTGAGACATTACACCATCAAGTTTACACATCCAAGCTTATTATTCCCAAGCGGTCACCCACCTAGGTACTGAACAGGCTCAACGTTGCTTAAAATCGGTGATCGTATGAGAACCGGTGTCTCAACATGATACGGTTGTAAGCCCAATTTCTATCTGAGACAATTTGTATTCCAAAATAATTAACACTACAAACTCTTTTTCGCTTGGGTCGCGATCCTTAGGAGAAAAGATAAATAATGTGGTTTGAAGTAATGTATATATATATATATATATATATATATATATATATATATATATATAGTAAATAGTAAAATTGAAAGTAATATTTATATATTTAAGGTTTTAAAAGGTTCACAGAACATAAATAGAAGAACAGAATGCTTTATCCTTTCCCCAATCCTAATGATTTTATTTCCCTTAATCGAAAGGACACCCTGACACCAGTCCAAAATGAGTTTGGGTCACTACTACACGCAAAAAAAAACTGTTTAAAAATTCAATATAAGAAAAAATACTCGTATTTGAAATAGATGCCCCATTTTTATTTTTGCAATGTGTTTTTCGCCTATCGCTCTTCGTATTCGAGAAACAAAGAAAACGGGGTCTCCGGGTAAGATCGAACCTGTGCCCCTATTTGAAGGAGAATCTACCGTTTGGTCTGTTGGGATTTATTAACTTGGCTATGAAGGGTTCCACATTTCTACAAGTTTTTATTTTCCCTTTTTTAAGGAAAACAATTTCTCAACTGTAACGCCCTTTCTAGACTGCGTTCTCCTAACTTCTCCTGCGATGTTGTTTTTGTTCTCGAATTTAATTCATTTCAAATTTTTCTTTGCTCTTTTCTATAAGTTCTTTCACATTGCTCGTTCATTTTTTTCTATTCGCATCATAAAGACTCAACAGAAATGCGTAAATTCCAAATGACCCTCATTTATTGTTTTCAAAACGGAAATTAATTCTACAGAAGGATATTGAGAATTGCATTGAAAGAACGTGTAAAGAACGATGAAGCTTTAAGAAAAACCGAAGCGAAAAAATCACTTATCCTTTGAATCAGAGTTGAAATTTCTGGAATGCAAGAAGAGCGAGGCAGAAAGGGCTTGGAAGGAGTGACCTACTTAACGAGTTTGTGCAAATGTATCACAGAACATGTTTTTTTCTATCTGTCTATATTTCTGAGATGAGGTATTATGTACATTATTTACATTATTCGGACTATTGTCCTCATCTTTGTCGCCATATTTATTACAACGTTTCGGCCGTTGTATGCTCCGGCCTACTTCAAGTGGTTGGAATGTCGAACTGAACCCTTTATTTCGCTCACTGGGGTAGACTATTCTATTTCCACGTGCCACGTTTAATGAATGTCAGTTATCAGTTATCTCCTGTTAATTTCCCTCTAAAATTTCTCCACTGCCTTAACCGAGTATTGAACTCACACTCTTTGGGTCCTGTCACTGGATCTAACCAACGCCTTTATCCACTGTGTCATGTGCGCTTGAATTCTATGAATTTCTGGGTATTATAAACCTAATGTCTCAGCAACCATTTTTACCAGTGCAATTTTTGCTGTTATCATCACATGTTTTTACCAGAGCTCATATTGCAACTTTTGTTGTTATTATCGCTTTTCTCTGGCACTCCTTAATATTGGTTCCCATATTGTATTCATTTCGTGTAGTTTCTGTGCGCTATAAAGGATCGGAACGTGTGGAGAGACATGATCTCCCACATTTTGAACGGACAAAGAAGAAGAAATCTGGTCAGTAAATCCATGAAATTTGAATAAATGAAAAGTCTCTCGTTAGCTGTGTCAAATATACGCAAATTTTATTTAGAAAAAAACTATGCAACTATTCCAAGTCATGAGAAATATTGGTATTTTTCGAAGTATCCGGCAGAGTATTTATCAAAAGAGGCCAAAATACACTACGCGTGTTATTATGGGTGTATTGCCTAAGTTCTACAAGAGAACCCAATTTCTTGTGCATTATATAGGTAGGAAAGAAAGTCCTGTAGCATGTTCACTTGATGTTATATATATAATAAATGCGAATGTCAGTTTGTCATTGTACCACTGTACACGTTTTCAATTAAAGGAACACAACTCTCTATCAACAGATCATCTTCTACTTCTATATAATAAACGCGAATGCCAGTGTCATTGTCTCGCACTTTTTCAATTTTAACCCTAGAGGCCATAGCCCAACATATCATAATATTCTGGAATAAGACTGACATTGTGTGCAATCCTGAAATTTTGGATTCCCAAGTTTTCATTACTGCGATTGTTTTCTGGATTTTTTGCGATGGATTTTAATGTACGATAACAATTTTTTAAGTTGAAAATAAATTTGGGAATAAGCGAAATTAATTGCGAAAGTCACTCAGGAAATAAAAATAATCGGAGAATAAAGATCTGCTTACATCAAAATGTCTTTAAGTAGCGGCAGTAGAATCATTGTTGAACTTTAAAAGGTAAGCTTAAATATTAATACAATACTTAAATGTAGCCGTCAATTTTGAGTTCATCTGTAGTTTATTGTTGCCTATCGCATCTGTGGTATGAAAGTTGGGCTTATACATAAGTAAAGGCCAAATTTACTGTCTATCCAACAATTTCATTGTTGACTCCATTTGGTTAGAGTGGCTAAATTGGGTGACTATTGTCTTAGTCCTTTTTTGTGGTTTTGAGAGTTCATGCAGGTTCATTGTGTTTTTGGCTGACAGAAATTATTTTCTGGAATTAATCTTCCCTTTTTCTTCTGGTGTTGTACGTCCCGTCAAACTCAATATCCAATGAATCTCCAACCCTTGCGTCTCGAACTGCTAGATCGAACCAATTTCCCACTTCTGCTTTCTTCTGCTCGGCTTCTTCTGCTGCGCACGTGTTTTTGTTTTTTCTTCTTTTTATTGGGCCTGGCATATCCGTGTTTTCCGTTTGATTTTAGGCAGGACGTATAGTCATTGTTTGATTTTTTATGACGTTCACTGACCCACATAAGCTATGTCCGGGCTCTGTCAGTAACCGGGAAGGAAGAAAGGAAGAAGGTTGCAATATAGAAGAGAGAAAGAGTTTTCTTTGTCACTCTCATAGTGAAAAGGAAAGTATATATTTCCATATAGTGTTACTACTACATAATCCTACTACACATCTATTCTTTGCTACGCCCTCTGCAGGAGGTATCTTAATGCCGCCCGATAAGGCTGCTTTTAAGTTAGTTAATATTCATGGATAAAACATTTTCCTTGCCACATCTTATTTTTATATGTTTCTCTCGTCCTACACTTCTTCTTCTTCTTTGTTCATTATAGCTCTCCATATTTTCTTGCACGTCATAACTTTTCTCTTTTTGCTATCTATCCCAAAACGCGATTTGGCATCCATTCGCTCATACTCGCCAGGTAGCTTATGCATTGTTTTCTGAGTATTAAATTTTCCAATCCCTCTTTCCTCATTATGTGCCACAGAAATTCAAACTGGCTCCTCATGATATTAAGAAGACGTTTACGTTGTCATTGTCTTGAAAACTTCGTCGTTGATCATATGTTCGGTTCATTGTATTCTAAGGATATTTCTGTTGCTTCAAGTCTATTCTTCGTCTGTGAGGAGATTATCCGGCATTCACTAACATATAGGAGGACAAATATTATGTAACAGATCAGTTCTCTTTTCTTTGTTTCTAACGAAATCACGGATTCTATTCACTGCTATCATCACAGATGATTTAATTATAAAGTTCGTCCAATTTTGTCTTTAAGTTGCTCTTAAGTGCAAGTTATGTAACTGAAGTCATGAGATTAGATTTCTGTTGCTAAACACGGATGTGAATGAATCTGTTTTCTATCCGAACTACACATACGCACCTCCGTTAAGTGAGACATTTCTGGAGATGGACAGGCAAAGCGAATTTTTTTCCCCGATTTTGGCACTCACCGTTCAGTAGCATTCTTCTTCTTCTTCTTCTTCTTCTTCTTCTTCTTCTTCTTCTTCTTCTTCTATACGTCATGTCCTTTCAGAACGTTGACGATCATGGCTCTCCAGTTTCCTGTACTTTGCAGCTCTTAATAACTTTTGTCTTTTTGCATCTCTCGCAAGCTCTGCTCTGACATTCATTCACTCAAGCGCGCCAAGAAGGTTATGATTTGCTTTACACTGTGTTGTAAAATAGGAAAGGGAACTGAATAGAATAATCACACGAAGGTTGGTAATGAACGATAATAGTTACGACAAGAACAACATATATAAGATTCTCCATCGGCGCGTAGAAGTAGACAACTGCTAGAAGTGAGTCAAGTTAATTCCACAATGTATCTCTAACTTCAGGATATCTACCAACCACACAAGGCCGAATTCCCCATAGATCCCGGTCCTGTAGCTGTTTTCCGAGACGAGACTCTGCCCTTCGTCATAGCCTGGTCTGGGGATCCTCTCTGCCCGGAAGCAGAGAGTTTGACAAGCACAGCTGGAGACGAATCTCCAACTGCAGACTAACATACAGTATCTACTACTGTATTTATGTGAATAAAGACATAAGCATTATCGCCCGTAACAACACACTGTCTCTTGTACCATCAATCTGTCCTGTGAGTATCAAATTTTCTTTTTCATCTTTGTGTACTGTAACTCCACAGGTGATCATGGCTCTCCACAACTTCCTCCATCTCGTAGTTCTTAATAAACTTTGTCGTTCACTTATTTCTCTTAAATCCTATTCTTCCATCCATTTACTCAAGCTCTCTAAGTAGGTGAGGTTTTGTTTTCCTGTCTCACTTGCCTTCACTCTGTCTTGTGAATATCAGCCCACTTTCCTCATGATATGCCCAAGACATTTCAACAATCTTTTCTCGATGTTAAGTATATTCTTCTTTACGTGCTGTTTCCCGCAGGATCAGTGCTCTCCACGACTTCCTGTCTCTTCTATCTCTGAATAGACTTTGCCTTTCTGTTATTTCTTCTAAACCCTGTTCCGTCATCTATTTACTTAAGCTCACCAAGTAGGTTATACTTTTTTTTTCTTCAATCTGTCCTGTGAGTACCAGATTTTCCAATCCCTCCTTCCTACTTATGTGTCCCAAAACACCTCAACTGTTTCTTCGTCATGTTAACTATCTTCTTGTAAGCGTGTCACCTCAGAACGTAGGCGATCATGGTTCTCCACAACTTCCTGTTCCTTTTAGCTCTTAATAAACTTTGTCTTTCTGTTATTTCTCCTAAATTCTCATCCAATATCCATTTACTCAAGCTGATGCCAAATTATGCGTCTTCTCTTGTCAATATATACTAAAACAATTCTGTTGCGGGATTTATCCACGATAGGTCTTTTCTAGAATCTTGTTTCTCTGTGTGCCATATTCCTTTAGGATGTGGGCGATAATCGATCTCCACCATCTCCTATCTTTTAGCAGTGTTTGTCTTTTTGCCAAGCCTTCCACAAACACATCTATTCACACAAGTTCGTACGGTTCACTCCCTTCCCTTATCGCACTTGACCTCAATATGGAATGTGAGGGTATTTTTTTTTCAAAGACCTTTCCTCATTCTATACCCAAGAAAGATGTCTGTTAAATCTTAAGTGTTTTTTGGGGTTTTTTTTTTTTACCATTTTCTTTAAGAGTTCCTTGACGCCGTCGTTGAGATAATGATCTCGAGACAATCACAGGTTTTTCAAATATGCATTCACTCTCTCCTCATCTCTCTCTTTCCCTCTCTCTCCCCATCTCTTTCTTTCTCTCTCTCCTCCTCTCTCTCTTTATCTTTCTATCTCTCTTTCCCTCTCTCTCCATCTCTTTCCTTCTCTCTCTCCTTCTCTATCTCTCTATCTTCCTATCTCTCTCTTTCTCTCTCTGCTCATCTCTCTCTTTACCTCTCTCTCCCCATCTCTTTCCTTCTCTATCTCCTCCTCTCTCTTTCTTTATCATCCTATCTCTCTCTTTCCCTCTCTCTCCTCATTTCTTTCCTGCTCTCTCTCCTTCTCTCTCTCTATTTTCCTATCTCTCTCATTCCCTCTCTCTCTCCCCATCTCTTTCCTTCTCTGTCTCCTTCTCTATCTCTCTATCTTCCTATGTGTCTCTATCTTTCTCTCTCTCCTCATCTCTCTCTTTCCCTCTCTATCCCCATCTGTTTCCTTCTCTCTCTCTCCGTATGTCTCTCTTTCCTTCTCTCTTCCCATCTCTTTCCTTCTCTCTTTCACTCTCTCTCTCTCTTTATCTTCCTATCTCTCTCTTTCCCTCTCTCTCTCTCCCCACTTCTTTTTTTCTCTGTCTACTTCTCTATCTCTCTATCTTCCTATCTCTCTCTTTCCCTCTCTCCCTCCGCATTTCTTTTTTTCTCTGTCTACTTCTCTATCTCTCTATCTTCCTATCTGTCACTCTTTCTTACTCTCTCTCCCTCTTTCTCTCTCTCTCTTACTCTCGGTGTATCCCTGTTTCCTTTTTACTGGCTTTTTTTCTATTATTTTTTCTGCATTTTCATTTTGGCGACACAATTCTACTATCGTCACCACCTAATCACATATGAATGGATACCTTTTATATGTGACGATCATTTTATCGATTTATTGATTTCATGACGGTGAATATTTTTGTCATCTCTCGCTCCCTCTTTTTTTCTTCTCTTGCCATAAGTATATGTCTATAGTTGCACATAGATGCGAATCTGTCCAGCGAAAGCCGTGGATTCAGGCTCTGTTTATCAAAGTGGAATTCAATAGTGTTATAAACATCCCGGAGAATTCCAGTAAGATATCTTTAATCATTTCTAAAATACAACACTTCAAAGCTTAATCTAACAATTGGACAGTTTTGTAGTTACACGATTTGGAAATTTTTTCTGTTAAATCCGGTAAATAAAGTATATTTTTTGTAAATGAAGTATATTTGTTGTTTCAAAATACCTAATAGGCTGCAGGATTTATGATGAGAATACTTGCCGATTCTAGTTAATATGTTGTTAACCCTTAAGCTAACTCTTCACATCCTATAATATTTAATAGAAGTTGTGTTATTGCATATCCTTTATTTTAAATTAAAATCTCCCTTAAAATATCTTTAAATAAAAAACTTCGAAATTAATGAAGCAAAGGACGGAAAGAAATCCATGGAAAATGAAATGTTTACTACTTCCGAAGTAACTTGTATTTCACGAGATTGCGCATGCGTGCTTTAGAGATATTTTACTTTGCTTCCTGAGTGGGCGGGAAATAAATTTCGTTTTGTTTACTTTTTCATAATGTAATATATAGATGTACAGAGATTTATATTTCTTGAATTTTTTGATTTTTTTTTTTTAATTTAATACCCCGAAACTATTTCCATCGAACTAACCTCCCATAAAGATACGCAATTATTTAACAACGTTGTTCTTCTGCATGCATAATCCAACCGTTCCCATCTTTATAACCACTGTTGATTGCATTAGTAGATCACGCGCGATAGATAGTAATGAGATTGTCGAACTCTATAAGGCTTGCAGGTCTTTGGCCTTTGCAGTTCTTTACGGGATATGAGTGTAGCGGATTTCCTTCTGTGGGAGATGGTGATAGGATTACTTTCACGCATTTTCTCTGCTAATGATTTGTCACGCGAGTAAGACAGGAAAAGAAGGGGAGGAAGAGCAGATGTCGTTTAGATGTTACTTTCTAGCTCCTCCTCCTCCTCTTCACGAGAGCAAATATGATACAAGTTTGGGTTAATAGCGGTGGGGGTTCACATGCGTACTTGTTGGTAGCGGTAAGGCCAATTGCATATTCGCAGTTATCGTTTTCATGATACGGGGAAGTGTTACATTGGATCTGAAATCTCTGTGGAGTCGGAATGCTTTCTTTTATACTTCACGTGCCCGAATGCTAAAGACAACTGAGCGTCAAGAAAACACCGGAAGTAATTGTATTATTTTATCCTCATGCGCAGTGGACTCAATCCGTAATCTGGAAGCGATGGAATTTATTCCCACGCCAATATGGTCGAGTCTACAGTGGGAACCACAGGCTTAGTTTGAATTAGAAAAAAAATAGCCCAGTCAAATCAACATGTAATCTAAAATAAGTAGTTCTCCAAATTTTCAGCACATTATTTATTCAAAAATCAAAACTTTCCAAATTATGATTAATAATACATGTTTTTTTTTGTTTAGTTTTTTATTTAAATCAGTTTCAAAATGTGCTTTTTGTAAACGAAAGATCCATTAGCGCACATGATTATCGGGAAAGGGAAATACACTCTTCAGGTTTTGAAAATAAAGGCGTCATTACTGAGCAGGCAGGGGTGATTGAAATGCGTTTGATAAATCATATATATATATATATATATATATATATATATATATATATATATATATATATATATATATATATATATATATAATCCGTATGGAATTTCCAGGACGATATAGATCTAGGGAGAAATCTATGTCAAGAGACAGTGCAAAATTATTATTAATAAAAGAATATCAAACACTTACATTCGCATCGGTAATAATTTTATTTGATGAGAACTTTAAAAAAACATCTCTCAGTTCTCAAAACACACAAATACGTAATATTTCTTTGTAGGGCTTGAAGACTGAGGCTGTTTTTTAAAGCTCTCATGAAATAAAAGTTATTACCTATGGGATTCTAAGTGTTTGATATTCTTTAATATATATATATATATATATATATATATATATATATATATATATATATATATATATATATATATGTATATACAGCGTGTCCTAAAATAATGTATACAGTCTTTGAATCGTTATAACATTCAATTTATGCATTGTGACTTGTAAATAAGATTAATACAAGAGAAAAAATACACATTTAAAGAAGTTGAGAGTAAAATATTAAAAAAAAACATAGAAAATTAACTTTAATAAGATAAAAGCTACTTGGGGCAATGGCAGAATGTTCATATAATGATGAGTTCACATCAAGTGCTCAAATTGGTTGCCGTTCTGTTCAATACATTTTTCATATCTTGAAGAAATAGACCTACAAACGTTCTTCTGGTATTTGAACACATTCTTCTTCAATTGCTACTCTCATTTCAGCAATTGTTTGAGGTTTCCTACTGTAAACCTTGTCTTTCAGAAACCCCCACAAAAAGAAAGGGTGTCAAATCTGGTGATTTAGGTGGGTATTCAACTGTCCCTCTTTTTCCAATCCATCTGTTTTGCATATTTTCATCCATATAATAAAAAATGTATTATCAACTATTAATATTTAAAGATTGTATACATTATTTTGAGACACCTTGTATATAAATATATATACGAAAACACTAAAAAGCAGCCTACCTTGCTACCCGGATTTCAATAGCAAGGTCTCCTCAGCCCTTCTACTCGTCTTAGACTATTTACAGATATACTTTTTACTAATTAACTCATAGCTGGGAAAAGATGTGCATTTATACCTTTCCGAATGGTATTTGCAAGTAATTGAATATAACGAACCCAAGTGGATATGCATATATTAATGATAGATTTATAAATGAACAAGATGGATTCTGAAGAGAAAGAATGTCTGGCATAAAACAGGGTACCATCCTTCTTAGGAACACATATCACTTGATCCATTATAAGCATTCAATTTTATATCAGTGGAAAACCTGAGATTCGGAAGGCGCAGTGAGTGTGAAATAACCTATTAGCCTGAGCGTTCAATACGATTATCATTATCGAATTTATTAAGAATAATTTTGTGAAAGACCAGCATGCCAAACTGTGTCAAACGCCTTCGTGATATGTAAAGACACACCCGAACCTCGTCGTTTTTATCTAAAGCCTGATAGACAAACTCAGCATTTGGCAGATAAACGAAAGCCATATTGTTTATCTGAAAGAAGGCCATGTGAAACCTAACCAATTAAGAATTGATTAGAACCGCTCATACTTTGCCAAAATCTAATAGGATTATAATTTGAGGGATCAAATCGTTCAACAGAGTTTTCTTTCTTTGAGTGTTCTTTAAGCATTTCACCACAAGCAAGGCGCGAGTGCCACAAGCATGCAGGGGGTTACAGAGACTGAAAGTGAGGGAAAAGATTGTGTATAATGGGGATTGAAGAAACAATAAAGCAAAGAACGAGTATAAAGGCATCAGAAGACGGCGATTGACGTTGTATTTAAATCTTTAAAGATTATAGTTATCAGGGGAGCAAGTAAAAGGACAGGAGTTCCACTGTCGGGAAGCGCGAAAAGAAACTTTTGGAGTAGAAGTGGCGGTTACATTTAACTATTTCAACAGTAAAAGAGGGTGAGGCTAGATTTCAATCTAGTAACAGGCTTAAATTTATGAAGTAGGGACATCAGGGAAAAAAATTCATCAGAACAATTGCTATGAAAATACCTGTAGAAAAAACAGTGGGAAGCCACATGAAGTGTGTGAGAAAGTCACTGAAGTCGAGATGCCAGGTCAGGACCGATTATATTACAGATACTTCTTTGGATTTTGGTGAGAACCTCGAATTGAACAGCATGGTTAGAAAAACAGATATGGCAAAAATATTTGATACATGGATGAATAGTAGATTCATAGATGTGTAAGATGAACTCTGACGAGAAAAAAAACCTTCTAGAATGACATAGCGAATCGACTTTCCTTGCAAAAGATGCAGCTATTGATTAGGAACTACAGAAAAGGATTTCCAGTAAGCTGGAAAACACTATACAGTAATGCATTTATTGTAGCGTTTGGAGAGAACAGCAATCAGTTCAAGAGAGTTCTTCTGTAGTTTGTTGCCTATTGCATTTACTCTTCCCTATCTATTCTGATAAAGGCACAATCTAGATCCCTCCGCAGAAGATAGCTTAAACGCCGCCTGATAGAGCGGCTTTTAAGCTCGTGTGAAATAAATCAAAATATAGATTATCATTATTCTGATGAATATTTGAAACAAATTTATGATTTTTTTCCTCCTATGCACAAAGTTTTCAGCATATTTATCTTAATATTTCTCCGTAATAACAGACTGATGAGAAATCTGAACAATGAAGCTTCAAATATCGATCCTCAAGCGTCAAACGCCATGTTACTTTTTTTCCCTCATTACTTGATTAGTAAGGCAATGGTTGAAGCGATTAAATGTGACAGAACATTTACTTTTTCCTTTTCAGTTTTCCTACACTTCGTGATGAACTCTGAATGACGCCATTGTTACATACAAGATTTCCAAATGTGATAGAAAGGAAGTCAACATTTTCGTCTCATTTTATTACCTATTTTAAGTTTCTATAATTTTTTAGAAAACGAATTCACATCAGCATGTGCACTATTACATGTAGGATATTTCAATATATAGATAATTTAGTAAACTGTATGATCGTTTTATGACGTAGCAACAGTTTTAGGTAGGAACATATACATAGGTATCTAAGGTTTAATAAGAATTTTGAAAAAATGAAATATATTTTTAAGCTTTTATTTTACTTTTCATTTCTATCTAATGGATTATATTTAATATTTCCAATAAGCACGTTACTGTATATCAAATCTAATTTAAAACACAGTTAAATTGAGCGGAAGGATTATT